CAGGCCCAGCTGTGCTTATTGACCCTGCAACATGAGGCAGGGTGTTCTCAATTTTTTGTTTCTGTTTTGTTTTAAGTAGGAACAAAGTAAGTATGTACCATAAAGTGCGCACACTTTAGTCAATTTTTAAGAAGAATTTATTTATTTATTTGAGAGAGGTTACAGACAGAGAGGCATAGAAAAAGGTCTTCCATCTGCTGGTTCACTTGTGACTGGAGTTGGGCCGATGCCAGGAGCTTCCTCTGGGTCTCCCACGTTGGTGCAGGGACACAAGCACTTGGGCCGTTTTCCACCGCTTTCCCAGGTCATAGCAGAGAGCTGGGTCTGAAGAGGAGCAGGCAGAACAGGAACCGGCACCGATATGGGATGCCAGCACCATAGGCAGAAGCTTAGCCTACTATGCCACAGCGCTGGCCCCCTCATTTCAGTCAACTTTGAACCCCAAAGTGTTCTTGAATTTCTCTCCAGGTATTCCCATTTTCCTCTGCAAATCATGTCTCTACCCTCTTCCCTCTGCTCTGTGTCTAAGAAAAGTGACCTGTCTGAACTAGTTCAATGACTGCCTTCCTTTCCACCACGGGGAGCAGAAGCAGAACAGAGAGAGGAAGTGGCAAAGAGGGTTTGGAAGAGCAGCAAGAGAGCAGTGAAGGCACTGTGGTGTTTGTTCCACAGCTTGCCTCCAGCAGGGCGGCCCCACGCTGCCTGCTGCTGTATCTCCTTTGGCGGATGAAGAACACAGTTGCTGTCAGGGGTCCTTTTGCCATTTTTTCATAGCTTCCTGGGACTTCTTCCTCCTTGCTCATCCTTTATCCGCATCTCCTTTTGTAATCATTTGCAGGATTCTGAAAGATCCTTGGAGGGCTTTTCTAACCCTTTGTTATGTTTTGTTCATACCATTGTTCTTCCTCTAGACTGTGACTGAAAGGCAGTAAAGAACACCTTGGAGTGAGAGACCTTGCTTTCCCAACCTTGAGAAGACAGAGTCAGGGAAGACAGGAGAGACCATGCACACAATATAAATGGTTGAATACTTGTATCGTAAGCCTTAAAGCTTGGGGTGTATGTAGCAAACTTAGATTTTATAAGCAAGGCTTGAGGGTGGCATTTTGGAATGGTGTATAGCTCACCCAAGCTCTCTGGCTCACTATTTTCTTTTTCATCAAATGAAGTGCTTAATAACAGCCCCCTCCCTTATAGTCCATGTGCTTTGTTAATGGTCACCAGAGATCATTAATATAAGATGTTCGTATAGGAAAATAACAGACATTATTTATTAAATACTAATGCAAAGTTTCAAATTTTATTATGATAGTAATCTTTTAAATAAAGAAGTCAGAAATAGACAATTTAGCACAATGACTTGAAAGGTAAACATTAATTGAAAATTAAACTTCAAGTCTTACTGTGAATATATGAAAAATGTAGTAGAGACTTCAATCAATGTTCAGATATATGACATAAGGTATGATTAGGCTATATTGTCACTAAGATTTCATATTCTACAGAATTATTTTAAAGAAGACCTATTTTATTTATTAAGCATGCAATGTTTAACAAAATACTCTTTGTTTCTACTTGAAATGCAAATTTTAATAATTGAAATGCACATACTGAAGTACAGAGTAAAGGACATGAGTAATGTGCAAGGTGAATTAAACATTTATTCTGATGAAATTATTCATAAAGTGCTGCTTAGATTTTAGTGCTGTGAAAAATGTTGTTAAAAGCAAGACTCTATATTGACACAGTTTTAATGAAGAAACATATTTCTTTATGTCTCAAGGGAAAAGTTATTAAAATTACTTTAATATTTGCATTTACCACTTCACTATTATTTAAAACACCCTGTGTCAATTTTAGTGGTAACAGCAACTTCTCTGTAGATTAACCTGCTTTATACACTTCAAATAACATTGAAATAATTATGAAGACGCATGTATTTTCATTAATTAAACAGACTCAAAATAATTTTTTTACAGATTTAAAATAAGAGGCATAGTTTTAATTAGTTTCTCTTTGGAAAAAGTTAAGATTATGAAGTACACTGCAGAGAAATGAACATTACCTGCACAAAAAATCTTTCTCAATTGGAATATCAGTCTATTTAAACTAACTTTTTAAAATTAAGCAAAAGCTTTTTTAAAATGTGATTGTTAATTAGCTGAGTTAATTTATTCTGAAACATGAATTGTCCAACTGTTTTCTGTAAAATGTCAGGCAGTCAGTTTCTAGGGTTTCCAGGCCACTTAGTTTCTGTTGCAGCTACTCAACTCTCTTTAAATCAAAAAGCAGACATGGACAACACAAATAAATGCATATGGCTTTTCCCTTAGGAACTACTGCTTTTGTCATAATTTTTCAACCCCTCCTGACAAGAATCATTAGGATTCTTATATACTGGAGAAGGAAATGACTCCTTCAGTCTAGTAGGGCCACCTGTATCACTCCCTCCATTCAGAGATTCCTTTTGATAAAAGACAAGCGAGGATCCATTGGGCAGGGGGTCACAGACAAGAGGCTGAGTTCCACTTTGAAGGTTGTTTCCTCATTCCATTGCACATAATTTGCTTTAAAACCTCTCATTGTCTTTGGCCCCTATTACACACTAGCTGCCTTAATATATAGTATCATATTATGATGGCAGATAGAGGAAAGAGTGAGCGAGGAAAATACCTTGTTTTCTGATTTTGGTAACTATTTCCTCAAGTGAAAGAAGATGTTTTCATAACATGAAATATTTGGAACAGTCTGGGTATCAACTCTGACCATTATATATTGATTTCAACTGCAGATGAATATCTAGCAATTCTGATTGGCATGGAATCTCTAATCATTATGAAATCTGACATGACTCCCTAAAATTTACACAAAAATGTGGCCCCTTAAAGTTCCCCAGAATTGCTATCTGGGATGCCACATGTGCTATCGAAATTTGGGGCTCCATATGATTTCACCATATGTTTACTAATAAATCCCCAATGTTAGTAAGCCCAAGAGGGTTCTTGCCTAATATTTAGAGAAGAATTCTAAATACCGGCACAGATAAATGAGGCAGCATGGTATATTTTAGGTTTTTATTTAGTGCGAGAGGTAGCTAGGAAAGTGAGGACTTTAGTTCAGGTTGGAGAGAGGGGAAAGTCTGGAAACTGGGGTAGTGTCCATACCAAACAGAGAGCAGGCCAAAAGCCATGTACAGCAAGTGCCGTGAGCTGCTATCCACCGCTTATCACCAGCAGCAAAGCAGAGGCAGAGAGCGTTTTGTGATACTCCCTGCCTTTTTAAATATTTTCCACAGGGGATTGGCTTGTGGGCAGGTGGGTGCTCAGGTATGGTCAGGTAGAGCCTGATGTCACATGGGGGCATGATGAGGGTATCAGGTAGGGTGTAAGGTCACACAGGGGCATGGCGAAGGCATGTTCTTCCAGCTCACAAATCTAATCAATTTTCGCCTGTATGCCTGCCTACTTCATTCCCCACTCAGAGACTTCGGACCTTAATTTTAAAGGGATGTTGATGGGTGTCAAGTCACCATCTTCTGTAGCTGCTTTCTGCTTATTAGGGTCACAGACCCTACCTGTTCTCGGTCTGAATGTCTCTGCCTATCTCCTCTAATGAGTTTGCTTCACGAGCTGGGGTTCTTTCAGTCACTGCCATCCTCCATGTCCCTGCATGGTCATCATTATTCTCAGAAGCTGCTGGGTTCTGAAAAATGTAAGTTTGTCAATCACCATGAGCAAGATTGGAATAGCCCCAAGTGCAACTGGTGTGCCCCTTAAAATAGAAAAAACATGTCTAGCCATCTCCCAGACAGTAGGTGGTGGGAGAATTCCCCTATGCAGACTATAAAACCATTTAGCTTGATCATAGAGGGCTTTGATGTCCTCTTCTACGAACATACTATTATTTGAGTAAAGGTGACAGATCCCGCTGAACACTGCACACATGCCCCCTTGTTCTATTAACATGAACTCTAAGGTCTGTCTGTTGTCCATAACTACCCTGGACAGGGAGTCTACTGAAATCAGAGCCTGCTGCAGAAGCTGTCCTGAAGTGTAGGCCAGATAACCCATAGCTAAGGTCAGGTTCTTAAAGTCGGTTTCATAAAACTCCTCTGGGCTGTCACCCTTTACCGCTGAGGAACCCACCAAGGGGTCCTTCTGCCAATAATAGCACCCAGAAAGGACCAAGAGAGGTATGTATATCAGGTGGGCACTGAATTGCTAGGACAAGAGTTCTACTTATCTTTCTGCCTTTTGAAGAGGTATTTTAGATCTTCAACTGGCTCACAGGAATAAGGTGATGTATCTGTTGGATCCACCTGTGGAGACTCAAGTGGTAGAGGTTTAATCCTTGACAAATGTACCCAGCTTGGAACTCCCTGTAATTTTACTGATGTAGGCGTGCTCGGCAGTACCCGATAGGGCCCCTTCCACTGGGGCTCTAACTGGTCTGAGGGAGACCCTTCCTTCCAGGTCTTTAATAAGACCAGTCCCCTGGGGAGACAGGCTGCTCATGGGCCTCAGGGTCTGGCGCTGGAAGGACCTTGTTGCCATACTTTACCAGAGCCTTTTGTATCTGGCCTAAGTTGATAATGTACTTTATTTGATCTTGCACCTCTGAATCAAAGAGGATGTCAGAGATGAGAAAAGGCCTTCCATGGAGGGGCTAAGCTTTCAGGCGGTTTTAGGTGCTATTCTCATCCTGAGAAGAGCAATTGGCAACAGTTTGAGCCGAGGTCTCCTGGCAAAGTTTGGCGAGATTCCTTTTAAGGCTAATCAATACAGTCATTGTTTTTGCAGTAAAAGATCATGCATAAATAGTAATGATCTTTTCCTAACCTTTCACAGTTTCATTCACTTTAAAATCTCCCTCTACATAGAGGAGAAACTGATAAATTAATTTTTAATCCCCAAACTTATATAAATTGGAAACATCATAGCCCTATCATGATCCCATACAAACAATAAAATGAGTTACCTATAAAAAAAGTAACAAAAACATACATTTTAAGAGAATGTAACCTTTATTTTGTAACATGTTATTCGTTTATTTTGTACTCAGGATAATAACAGCACAGAATACTTTGAAAATTGAGATACTTTTGCCACACATTTACAAATGTTTCTCAAGATGATGAATCAGAAACATAACAAGAGCCATTATAATCACAAGCCATAAAACTTTTTAAACAAAATGATTACATATACTGAATGGGTGCAAATAAGTGCCATAACAGTGATTTATGGAGACCCAAACTATTTTCAGTTAGGTAAACTATGTCTTAAGTCTGCTAATTATATCTTTCTGCTTTACTACAAACCAGATATTACAGTCTTTACTATTCAAAGATACAAAGAGTTCAGGTATATTTTATTGTCCAACAGGCCTTTTAAAAATTTATTCTGAGACAGGTATTTCAGAAATTGTCTATGATCAAATATTAACTTCTTTATTTATCTGGTCCCACAGTGCCTATTTATATTCAAAATTGTACTCTCTTCTCCTTTTCAATAAATATATATACAAATGCTTGTTTCTGTGTTAGAAAGATAGCAGAGGCTATTTGCAGAGGAAGGTCTTTCAATGAGGAACAAATTTTTGGAAAAGAATTATAAGTTCACATTATGAATATCACTTTGGGGGGTTATTCTAAATAATATGGCAAAATATAGATCAATAGAGAAAATAAACATTTGATTAAAATTCAATGTCAAGCAAGATTACAAAATATCCGGAATTGTCTGGTAGTATTTTACGGTCTATTCACACACAGGTCTTATTCAATACAGTTCCCATTCCGCTGACTGACACCAATCACACCACTCAGTGTTGCTTGTGGATCACGGCTGAATACCTGCCCCTTTTCTTTCTTGTTCAGGTCTACTTTTCCTCCGGCTTCACTGCAGACATGGGCCATCAGAGTAACGATCCTCAGCCACCCTAGCCTCCTGTTTATAGTAGCTTCCCAGATAGCTTTTCTTAAGCCAGAGATCACACACACAAGAGAGGAAACTGCAATTTTAATAATGGCTCCTTTGTCCTCAAGTGTATCTGTGAAGTCTTCAGGAGTTCCTGATACCACCCTGCCCTCTGAAATTCATATTCCTGCCACTCTATCAAAGGGCTCTGTCTGTCTTTCTAGGTTCACCTCTCATTGTCTCTACATGAATCTTAACCTCCAATTGAAACAGAACACAAGCTTTCTTTTCTTTAAGCAGGCTGTTGACCCCCATCCTGGAAATTTTGATCTTTTCACTCAACTTCAATGCATTGAATTCTCAAGCTCCCACATGTAAGGAAACCTTCCTGGAGTCATCCTCTTCACTTAATTGTAAAACCAAGCCTATTCATCTCTATTACTATATCATATGTTCCTTGAGAATTCATCTTTATAGACTCTATTGTATTTAGAACAGAACTGTCTACAAAGAAGGTTTATGTAACTATTTGAATTAGGTCACTCCACTTCTAAAATGCAAACACAAAATTTACTTTTTGGGCTGTCTTTGATAAAGACTTTATAATTGGTTTGGAACTTTACAGAGGCCTGTTAAAGGTTTCTAGAGCAGTAAAACAAACAAAACAAAAACAAAAGATGACAAATAGGAAAGTAATACAAAGTACATCTGATCTCTATATTTGAATGGAGTTAGAGAAAACTAACAAGCTGGACAAAATTTCATGATGGCAAGGAATAGCTTGGTTAGCAACTATTTAAAAAATGTTTCTAGTGAGATAGATTTTAATCACTGAGTATCTGTTGTGTCAGTTCCAATCCAGTGTTAAAACAGATGAAATAAATGCAAATGTGCTATCTTTCTAGAAGAAATTCTGTGAACACCAAAAATAGGCACTGGTATACAACTTTGATAATTTGATGTATGTTTTTTCATAGATTGTGTATGTTCAACTTCTGATTGTTAATTGCAATGTCAGTCAAACAATTCTTAGGACTAAAGTTCTATTTTTGTATAATCAAACTACAAGATGCATTTTGTCACAATATATAGACTCAAAATACAATTTCACGTTTACAAATATGATCACCTTAAGATGACAGTACTATAAGCCATTCTTTTTGATGCTGAGTTTTTGGTAAGAAAGAGACCCTCAATTTTGTGCTTTAGGAAAAATAAAGTCTATTTTATGGCTATACATTGATGTCAGACAAAGGGAACACACTGAAGAAAGAAAAAGAAACCCTGATATAGTCCTCGATATTTATATACATAAACTGTGTGGACCTAAAATTGACCAGTTTTAAAAACTCCTAAATGACATTTGTTTTTAGCCTAAAGTAAAAAGTATCCAATTAATTGAACCCTATTTATATCAACACTTTGTATTTGGTTACCTTTCCTGGGGGGATATTTCCATTTCCATACTGAATTTCAGATAATTGCAAGTACCTTCTTTTTAAAGACAATATTTAGCATTATAGGAATCTTCAATAAGTCAAATATTGTCCATAAAATTCGAGAATGAGTAAAATACTACCATGTCATTGCTAATCCAAAAGAATAAAATCATGTCCATGACATGACATTTCACATTCTCAGAACTTCTACATCCTGGCCATATATTTAGGGGATGGATGTATAAGAATGTAACATTTTTGCAAATGATGCTAAATTCTTATGCTTCAGTTAGCCTTCCTAGCCTTTATACCCATCTTTTTAGTGTTAAAAACATTTAAAACACCGAGGAAACAGAAGCCTCAGTGAATCCAATAAATTAGGAAATAACTGAGTTGGAAAAAAAGGAGGGTTAAAAAACCTTCTTCAAAATGGCAAAACTAATATTTGAATAAAGAAGCAAATAGTAATTGGACTGCAATTCCTACGACAATAAATTTTATCTTATTTGTTTAAAAAAGGTCAATGCATTTTTATCATTTCATTATTATTTTTAGAAACAAAATTTGTACACTTCCCTTTCTGATCTGCATACTGGATTGTTCAAAACATCCTTGGCTTTGATGACAAAATGTTGTCTTTATGGTATTTACAAGGAATATATGTATCAATATATAGAAAATAATCTTTCATGTTTTTATCAGCTTTGCTGCCACTCATAAACGTTGTCAACACTCAAAAGCCAAGCTAACTAATGAAACACTAGTGAGAAAAAGTCAAGACTATTTCAAGCATCTCCCAGTATTTTAGAATATAGTCATGTTTGGAAACAATTGAAAGAGCCCCAAACAAAACTGCCCTGTGACAACGAGCAAGTTATAGCTTAAAACACAGAAATAACTGTAATATATTTTATTGAAGTATTTTATTCTTCATAGGTATTTCATTTTCCATTAATACCTATATGCATGTTCATCATATGAGTATCACATAGATACTCTATGTAATAAAAATCAATTCATGAATAATCTTTAAGTGCCTATGTACATAACCAAAGTTTAATTTGGCTCTCCATCCAAAAGACATTTTGGTGGATATGGGCACTATTATTCAATTCCTACTTATTTTTTTAAGTTTTATAAGCAAAGTGAAAAATTCATATTTAGCTAGGAATGTATAGTGAAACTTATTTATAATATACAGAAAAAAAAAACTTTCACATCCCCCAAATATCAGAATAACCATTCTAAATCCTCAGTCTGATGTTCACTAATCATATGGGATATCACATTAAAAACTGGAATGTCAAATGCATAGTCTCCTGAAACCTTAAGATTAATCATAAATCCCTGATCATAATTGCTCTTGGCTGTGGAAGCAATTTTTAAAGGTTATCTATAGATAACATTTTTAGTGCTTTTCCACAAGATTAAGTGATGATGAATGATTATGGAGTTCCTCTGAACAAGAGATAGATCAAAAAACTTACAGAAATGTGATGGTTGCAGTCTAAATTTAAATCTCCTTCTAACAAAACAGACATTCTAGAAACTCGAAGTATTAACTGATAAACTGTACCTGTAGTGAGACTTGATCTCTACTTTATCTGTTCCTGTCTAGGAATTTGGAGAACTCTCCTTTCCCATCCCCAACAAGCAAGATGACTCTGATAAAAAATTACTGTAATCATGATTTTGGGGACTGTTCCCAATTTTTTAGAAAAGAAAATATCATAAAAATTTATAACACTGTTTTACACCTGTCTCAAACCAGCACTTAGAAGTTGGAAGAGGAAAATGTAACACAGAACTAAAATTGTTTCCTAAATATTTTTGGCCTGAAAAATGTTAATAGTAAATATTTAAGTCCATATACTCAATAAGAATTGCTACTGAATTTACCACATAATTCTTTAACCATAGTGAGTAAATAAAAAGACTGTTTCTTTATGTTTTTGCTAAGGGCTGTAACAATCTTGTGGAGCATAAAGAGAAATTGATAATTTACCTCCACATTTAATCTCAGAGTTGGTAGACTGCAATATTTACATGTTAACCTCTTTATCCTTCATAAATGCTGAGATACAAAATAAAATGGTCAAATGTAATATTTTTCTGATTTTTTCATTTTGCATTGAAAAGAAATGACTTGATTAATTTCTGTGTAGTTTGAAAAAAAAACCATAAGACTAGATGTATCTAGAGATATGTCTAATTGGATATCAGGAAATGGACCAAAGTAGAAGATAAAACTTGGCTATTTCATTTGTCTTTTATAATTCTTAACAGGCTTGATGTGATTATTCTACATTGTATTCAGAAATCATATTACTTTGTACTCCATAAGTTAACATGATTACAAATTACAAAAAAAAAACACTAAATTCAGAACTTAAAAATAATTTCTCATGGGAAGAAATCATCTTGGAAATAAATCCAAGGAAATCACGGCTTTAAGTTTTTAACTAACCATGTTCCAAACAGTAGAAAAAGTAAAAAGCCAGAAAAATCAAATTAGCAATCATTTCTGTGACAAAAATTATTATGTAAATATTAGGCATTAGTTTCCCCTTAAAAACAGTACCAAATCATATTTAAATAAAATACATATTAAAACCATCTCATCATTAGAATATGAATGACAAAACTTATAAATTCAAAACTCTAATAAGAAATAAGTAAAATTATGGTAATATGTAGTAGTATTTTAATGTAAAGAATTGTACAACTGATCTGATTCACATAATTTTAATTCATCTAAAAGCTACTATTTTAATTACCAATTAATGCTGTAAAACAGTTACAATACTACTCAAACTTTTCCCAATGGTTTCCCTATATTTTAAATTCAAACTTCCTTTCATTGAAGTGCTAGAGATTATAACAGATTCTATTCAGGCATATGATTTTGCCTATTAATTGGAACTCATAAGTAAAGATAACCAACCCAATAAACCAGATTGAACAGGGCGAAAGCTGTTGGGAAAAATATTCGCGAATAGGAGTCAATTTTGGCAATTCGTATGTGTATTCTGCCTTCCCGCCACGACCCTGTTCTGCAGTCTTCGAAGCAGCAGAAGAAGCTGGCACAATCTTTGCCCTCCAAACACTGATATCCGTACTCATCCTCTCCTTGAGGCAGAGAAATACTGCTCATTGGAATCAGAGTGGATCCAGGGTGGAGCCCAGGGGACACCTGAGCAAAATAATGAGAGGTTTAGAACTTACATAGTTTCCGTAAAGAAAGATCAGTTTTCCTCTTCAAGGCAAACTCTAAGAAACTATCAAGTAATAAAATAATATTGATTTCCAAAAATCAAGTATTTTCAATTCTAACATGTTTTTAGATCATAATTTACTTTGTAACAGATAACACTTTTTTTGTACCAAAGATGATGTAGAAAATAAATGTTTCTGAAAAATAAAATATACTTTATACCTTTAGAAAGCTGGCCCATCAAAATTTTGTCAGCCACGATCTAGCCCTAAAATGGAAATAAATTTTATCTGCAGTCTTTAGAAAGTTCATGGGAAATGTGGATTTTGAAGAAACCATGCACAAGTATCAAAAATTTTGGCAAAAAAATAGCTTATCCTTTAATTCCATTTTCCATAAACCTTTTGAAGTACTCATATTCCTATGATACTTAATATGAAAACATTTACAACATTATAAATACATTCATTTGTTGTAATACATTTGTTGTAAATTTGTTGTAAATACATTCACTATGTTGTATTATTTATGTGTCTTGGTAGTAATAAGAATACATAGAGTGGGCAGGCGCTGTGGCGCAGTAAGTTAATCCTCCGCCTGAGGCACTGGCATCCCATATGGGCTCCGGTTCAAATTTCAGCTCCTCCACTTCCAATCCAGCTCTCTGCTATGGCCCGGGAAAGCAGTAGAAGATGGCCCAAGTCCTTGGGCCTCTGCAACCACATGGGAGACCAGGAAGAAGCTCCTGGCCCCTGGCTTCAGATTGACACAGCTCCAGATGGTGCAGCCATTTGGGGACTGAACCAACGGAAGGAAGACCTTTCTCTCTGTCTCTCCCACTCACTGCCTATAACTCTAACTCTCAAATAAAATGAATAAAATCTTTAAAAAACATAGAAAAGAAGACACTTTGATAATGCAAATTTTGAGAAACTGTGAGTAGACAAGAACAACATGGTGTCTGGAGTAGTGGATAAGTGAAAGGCATCATATTTGAGAGAGAGGCATTATAGGAGTTACAGCCTCATATTTGAGAACAACTGGTGTTCAAAATTATGCTCACCCTACCAATTTAACTCTTCTCAGAGCTGGATTCCAGTTAGCACCTTTTTTGTGGCAACTGTGATGAGTAAATTTTATTATAACAATGTAAAATTATAGTGTCCCGGCCGGCGCCGCAGCTCACTAGGCTAATCCTCCGCCTTGCGGCACCAGCACACCAGGTTCTAGTCCCGGTCGGGGCACCAGATTCTGTCCCGGTTGCCCCTCTTCCAGGCCAGCTCTCTGCTGTGGCCCGGGAGTGCAGTGGAGGATGGCCCAAGTGCTTGGGCCCTGCACCCCATGGGAGACCAGGATAAGTACCTGGCTCAGTGTGGTGCGCTGGCCGCAGCGCGCCGGCTGTGGCGGCCATTGGAGGGTGAACCAATGGCAAAGGAAGACCTTTCTCTCTGTCTCTCTCTCTTACTGTCCACTCTGCCTGTCAAAAAAAAATGAAAAAAAAAATGAAAAACTCATTAAAAAAATTATAGTGTCCCATACTGCATGGTAATAATAAGTTAATATTATCAGGATTATTTGGGACACATATTAAATTAACTTTTTGTGATACCAGGTTCTGCATAATACTTAAATAATAGAATTTTCAAAAGTATTATAAATTATTCCAGGTTAGCATACTACAGAACATTAAAGCAAGCACTTCAGAGTCAGACAAGCTTGGGGTGTATTTGTAGATTTGCCCAGAAGAGTTGTGTTAGCTTGAACAGGAAATATGACTGCTCTTTTGCCTTTGTGTCTTCTGATTACAAAAGTCACAATAACAGCACTGTAGATTCATTCAATGACTAAACTAGATGATGCGCATAGTGCACTAAGTAAAATATCTGATAAATATTACATATTCACCTGCCAATGGGCAATATTTATTATCACTGATATTGTTATTGTCACCATTACTGATGAGTCCTGACTAGGATCTATCACAATTAATTATAAAAGACATGCTAAAACGAAGAGACCAACAAACTAAACAATAACCGCATACACACATCTGCATCTCATCAAACTGCTGCCAAAAATTAATGAATCTATGGGCCGGCATTGTTGCATAGCAGGTTAAGCCACTGTCTGCTGCACTAGTATCCCATATGGGCACAGGTTTATGTCCCAGGTGCTCCACTTCCAATCCAGGTCCCTGTTAATCAGCTTGGGAAAGCAGCAGAGGATGGCCCAAGTTATTGGGCCTCTGCTACCCATGTGAGAAACCCAAAGAAGTTTCTAGCTCCTGGCTTGGTGTAGCCCCGTCACAGGTGTTGTAGCCATTTTGGGAGTGGACCAGCAGATGGAAGACCTCTGTCTTTCCTTCTCTCTGCGACTCTACCTTTCAAATACATAAAATAAATATTCAAAAAATTAATTAATCTGGGGGCCAGCACTGTGGCATAGAGGTTAAAGCTGCTGCCTGCAGAGCCAGCATCCCATTTGGGCACTGGTTTGAGTCCTAGCTGTTCCACTTCCAATCCAGGTCTCTGCTACAGACTTGGAAAGCATTGGAAGATGGCTCAAGTGCTTGGGTTCCTGCACACGCGTGGGAGACACAGAAGAAGCTCCAGGCCCCTGGCTTTGGATTGTCACAGCTCCAGCCATTGTGGCCATTTGGAGAGTGAATCAGCAGATGGAAGACCTCTCTCTGTCTCTCCCTCTCTCTCTGTAACTCTGCTTTACAAATAAAAATAATAAAAAAAAAGAATCTAAATGAAATGTCAAGTAGAATATGAATGAGAATTACAGTTTTGATCATCTTTTTTTCTTCAAAACTTTTACAATTTTCAAGGGCCATCTAAACATGTAACTGTTGTAACATTATAATTGGCGGTCTTATTATCGAAAAGCTAACTATAATTTTAATCTGGTCTTAAATTCATTCTACTGTAAATTTTTATTAATTTTTCACCCTAAATTTTGGAAAAAGTAAGTATGAAAACCATGAAGATTAAATGTTTTCTTAAAAATATAAAAACAGGGCAGCACTGTGGCACAGTGGGTTAAATCTATGCCTGTGTTGCCAGCATGCCATAAGGGCGCCAGTTCTAGTCCCAGCTGCTCCTTTTTCCATCCAGCTCTCTGCAATGGCCTGGGAAAGCAAAAGAAGATGTCCCAGGTGCTTGGGCCCCTACACCTCCATAGGAGACTCAAAAGAAGCTCCTGGCTCCTGTCTTCAGATTGGCACAGCTCTGGCTGTTGTAGCCATTTGGGGAGTGAACCAGAGAATGGAAGATTTCTCTCTCTCTCTCTCTTTCTCTCTCTCTCTGTCTCCCTCCGCCTCTTTGTAACTCTGCCTTTCAAATAAATAAATAAATCTTAAAAGAAAGAAAATATAAAAACAATACACAAAAAATTTCTTGAAATTTGGAGCTTATTTTTGTTCCAAAAGGAATGGTAGTATCTAAGCTATTAAATATTAAAAGTTCAGTAGATATAAAAAAAGAGTCAATCGCATATACTGATATTTTACAAAGATAAAAATATCATTCTGGACACAATATCCATACAAAATTAGAAAATAAGGAGTGATGCATAAAACAAATTCACAACTACAGCTGTCTGGATGTATCATAAAAAGAAAAGGCAATCTATTATTAAATGTTAAGGACAGATCTTTTGAGGATACCTGGCGATACTTCAAGAGGTACTGAAATGTTAGTGGAACATTGAAATTATGTTAAAAAATGACACTAATTGGCATCCATCTCCCTGTCATTTAGTATTTTAATAGTATATGCTCATATAATAATTAGATTGATCATGATTAAAATATGTTTTAGTTGCAATTTTAAGGTTGTATGGCAGAAAACACAACTCACTTATCTCTAAATACTGCCATAAGTGGAAATATGGTGTGTTTGTGAGAAGGAATCAATTGTCCCTGATAGATGTTAGGAAACATTCTTCATCAGTGTTAAAGTACAGACACATGGTGGACCTTGGTAAAGAGGAAACTTCAGTCAGCTTGTCATAATTTCTGAAGAATTCCTGAAAGTCAAAGAATAGATGAAGATAGGCAAATGGATAAAGTATACACATGGAAATTGGGTCTCAGAAAGGCTCAGGAAATGGGAACTTGAATGTGGAAGCTGTTTTTTCCATTAAAGCTCTAGAAATGGGGCCAGCATTATGTTGTAGGGGGTAAAACCATGGCCTGTGATGCTAGCATCTCGTGCTGGTGCCTGTTCAAGACTGGCTGTTCCACTTCCAATCCAGCTCCCTGCAAATGCACCTGGGAAAGCAGTGGAAGATGGTCCAAGGGCCTGGGTCCCTGTACCCATGTGGGAGACCCAGAAGAAGCTCCTGGCTTCTGGCTCTGGCTTCTGGCTTTGGTCTGGCCCATCTTTGGTTGTTGTGATTATTTGGAGAGTGAGCCAGTAGATGGAAGTTTCTCCCTCCCTCCCTCCCTCCCTCCTTCCCTCTCTCTCTCTCTCTGTGTGTGTGTGTGTGTGTGTGTGCGTGTGTGTATCTTATTCTATGACTCTGTTTTTCAAACAAATAAATTTTAAAAAGTAAAGCTCTGGAGATGCTTTCCTCTGTTAGTTACAAAGATTGATAATGATAAAGAAAATGTACAATGGCATTAATTAAATGTCTACTCCAGATCAACTGCAATTCTTTCAACTGCAACTTAAACACTGTGCATTGGGAAGAAAGAAGCTGACAGGTTGTTCATTCCTAAAACTGCTGTGTCCCAGATCTGGCAGTTGTAGCCATTTGGGGACAGCATCAGCACATAGAAGATTCTCTCTCTCTCTCTCTCTCTCTCTATCCCTCTTTCTGCCTGTCTCTCCTTGTTTTTGTGGAATTCTGACTTTCAAATGAATAGATGAATCCAAGAAGGAGAAGGAGGAGGAAAAGGAGAAGAAGGAGGGAGAAGACACCAGCATTGTGGTGCAGCCGTTAATCCACCAATTATAACACCAGCCTCCCAT